CTCCTTCAGCAATCCAGGGTACACACAGGAGCGCAAGGCGTTGGCTGCTAAGTCTGTATTTTCACCGTCTCCTACGGCGCGTGCTTTGGTGGGGGGCCGCCACTAAACAGCTCAGAGTGACTTCTTGAGGACACGTACGGGACCGACAGACAAAGTCCAGGGAGATGCAGTGCTGGAAGCCCGCCGTGCAGAGAAACCACACACTCTGGAACAAGGAGCCCATTTTCCTTGTCTCAGAAACGTGTGGGTGTATTGCTGTAGCTGCCCAGCAACGAGGTGCTCTTGCATCGATGGTAACGCTACACCTCCCAGAACAAACAACTTTAATACTCATGGCAGATTCCAGGAACGAGAGCCAGCACTCATTTTAAGGCCTGCCTCGCTGAGGTTGAAGTATGGGTCACCATGAGACCTCTGTATCAAAGAGTGACGGGGGTTGATGTGCGGTATCCCAGGATTTCCACCATCTTTGCTTTGATCCAAACAACCTGCAGTCAGAGTTTGGTTACAGAAGTGGAAGGGAGACATCTTGCTTGGAAGGGGAACCACTTGGGATGTATAGGTGTCACAGGGGAGATGAATCCCCTCGGGTTTTTAAGCCGAACTATACCAGAGGTGTCGAAGGGGCTGAACCTATTTTCAGGGTGTGGTTTAATACCTGGAATGCCTTGTGTAAAGCCTGGGTTAAAATCCCGTGTAGATTCATCTCCCTTCCCATGAAAATCAGCGTTGCCACCGAGGAGGAGTCTATAAATCACCCTGTCCAGATTTGAAAGATCCAGGCAGCTAGCCTGAGGCTTAGGTCTTCCTTGTTCCAGGAATCTTCCAGGAGAACTGCCTTGGGATCCAGACTGTGAAAAGACACGTTGATCTCAGAAGGATGGTGAGACAGGAACCTCAGCCAAGAGATGATGTTGTTAACAGGACCTCCCTCCTCCAGTGGGTTGGGCAGGGAGCAAACCCAGCTGGAAAAGTCCCAGGGATGAGTCCCGGGGGCTGCTTTGCCCGTCCTTGGAAAATACCCTGTTTCCTTGAAGCCTCTGATACCTGGAGAGACCCCCCAGGCATGGAAGCAACGGTCCTCTGTGTGGAAAACTGGAGGCACAGGAAAAAAATGAATGGGATCTCACCATAATCACTTCCAGAGACTCCGGGAGAGCATCTTGCCTTGAGAATGTGTAGATCTGTGGAATTTACAATGCATTTCGGAGAAAATTAAGTATGCCCCTAAATCATGCATGTGTCGCAGAAAGGCTCAAAAATAGAACAAGGCACGTGTGAACCCATGTGCAGATGTTTCTGTTAGCCACTACACTGAAACCTCTCTATGTATGATGGAAATGTTCAGGAAAAACCCATACCTTTGGGACACACATGCTCACAAAAATTCATACAGAAAGATGCTGGGGTGGGTGTGGATCACCAAAAGTGATGCTGAAATGAGACAGAATAAGCATGTGGGCAGGAAGTCAAGAAACTAAGCAAATACAAGGCCCAATTTTTTTAAAATTTTACATCCCTATGCCAAACATACTGTTTGCTATTGAGCTATTAGCTGCGATCCTTTCCATTTTCCTTTAAAATCAAAACTTAACCCCAAATGACATCGCATCTCAGCCTTGCTTCTATAGAGGATGTTCTGCAAGCTGCTTTCACCCACTTTCACGGAATCATGAAGTTGGAAGGGGCCTAGAAGTCCATCCAGTCCAACTCCCTGCTCAGTTGTTGTTGTTGTTTAGTTGTTCAGTTGTGTCTGACTCTCCATGACCCCATGGACCAGAGCACGCCAGGCCCTCCTGTCTACCACGGCCTCCCGGAGTTGGGTCAAACCCCTGCTCAGTGCAGGAATACACATCAAAGCAGATCTGACAGAGGGTTGTCCACTTTTCCCTTGAATGCTTCCAGTGTGGGAGTGCTCACCACCTCCCCCTGAGGTCCCTGGTTCCATTGTTGTACTACTCTAGCAGTTAGGAAGTTTTTTTCCTTATATTCAACCAAAATCTGGCATCCTGCAACTTGAGTCTATTGTTGCATGTCATGCACTCACGGATGATTAAGAACACCCCTCTTCTGGATGACAGCCTTTCAAGTCTTTGAGAAATGCTGTCCTATCTCCCCTCAGTCTTTTTTCTCAAAGCTAAACCTGTCCAGTTCTTTCCATCTTTCCTCCTAGGGCTTGGTTTCTAGTTCCCTGATCTTGCTCTCCTCTGAACTTGCTCCCGTTTACCTGCATCCTCGTTTCCTTGCTGCTCTTCCCAGCCAGGGTGTTTGTCCTCAGTTGACTCGTTTCCCTAATGAACAATCCTTCTCATTTCCCTGTCATCAGCTGACGTACTTGCTAAACACCTGTCCCTTCTGAATGAACAGTTTGGTACACAAGGGAAAATTCTAGGAAACGTGCCGGCCAGGAGCGAGGCGTCAACCCTGGGTGTCTCTTCCAACTTCATCTTGGACCTCACCATTACGTCATTAGCCCCTCCCTCCTTCTGAGGGGCATTTTTGGGAGAGCACTGCTGAAAGGTGATTTCCACTTTCCTGTCATTCCCTTCGCCTTGAATTCTGACATGTCAGGAACGTAGTGGTTTATAGTTTAATGGTGCAGGAATTAGCCTCCATCATTAAATTGCAAACTGGCCAGAGAGGGATTTAAGGACTATGGGGCGGCATATAAACAGCACAGTTTGCTTTGCTTTGACTTTAAAACTAAAACCTACCGCCCATTCAAGGGACCAGGCCTTTTTGCAAGGTAAGAACTCTGATTATTGAATACAAGAGGCCTGGGAGAAAACTAAACAGGGTGATTTCCCATGCTGGGCTCGGCATCAGTCAAAAACCCCAAATATGGGGCACGAGCTTCGGGGCACATCTGGGCAAACCCAGCTAGGAGAAATGGCACCTGGGCAAACCCATAGGGGAGATGGCAAGCTGCTGTCTAGCCCAATATTGTCCGTTCTCACTAGGAGCACTGAGTCTTCTGGTGTCAAATGGGATTTGTTCCCAGCACTACCTGGAGATGCCAGAACGGAACCACTTGGCTTTACAATTGAGCTAGATGTTCTCTCTAGTACAGCAGCCGGAATTCCCTGGTGTGGTTCCCCCGTGTGAGTCTTAACCAGGCTTGACCCTCCTTAGCTTCCAGAAGCAGTCAGGGTCAGTGTGTTTAGGGCAGTGCAGCCGTACAAGGTAGCATTCTGCAGAATTAGACCTTGCAAACATTATTCTTTCTTTCTCTTCCTCCTGGGATTACCCTGCCCAACACAAGTGGAGGGTGGCCCTTGGAGAAGTCCGGTCTAATTCAAATATTTGGGATGGGGGAGGGCATGATTTCCCCTCCTCCCAAGCTGTGCACCCATCCTGAATGGTTGTCCTCTAGCTGTGTAGCCCCGAAGCGAAACAATAAATGTTCCAACGCGGTACCTGGCACAGCTGGGACACAGAGGTGGGCCACCACTTCCGTTGGGTTGGGCGATGGGGAGCCCAAAGGGAGGGTGGACCTCCAGAAGAGACACCTGGCTGGTTCCAAGATGCCTGCCCATCTCTTTATTGCGAGGGGGTGGGGACCTTTGGCCCACAACTCTCTCAGTGCCCTACTGCTGTCCCATGTTGGGTGGGGCTGATGGGAGTTGTAATCCCAAGACTCTGAAGGGGCAAAGGTTCCCCCTCGCCCATGGCTCCCAGTTTGCAAGCTCCGTGGAGGACCTGAAGGGTAAATCGTCAACTGGGCTGAAACCTTGAGTTGGCTAAGCTCACGAGTTAATCCATTTAAAGTTTGCAAAGGCAAGGACAACCCCCGGCATCCCCCAGCCAGGAAGCCTAGTGGTCCCTAAGGTGTGTGGCCCTCGTGGCAGATCCGTTCAATATAGGCTGAGGAGTTCGGGAGCAACCCTGGCATCAGATGGCGATGCTTCCTTCCCGGTGCTGCCGAGGCCCGGCGTCTCAGCCACCTCCTGACGCTGCCAGCTGTCAAAGCCAGTTGTCTCTCGCACAGACACGCCTGTCTCCTCTACGTGGAAGGAGGTGTCCTCTTTCAGGTCAGCTGTAGCTCCCGGGGGACGGCAACGTCCAACCCGCTGATGAAACAAGGCAGAGCCGAGACAGGGACAGGCGTGAGTCTGGGCCACTGACCCCTTCTTTGCAAGGACGACTGGGCGACCTCAGGCGATGGAGGGACGGAGGCGATGACCCACTCTCTCCCCCCACCCCCACCGCACACTGGAAAGGATGCTTTCCAGTCCAGGCATGCTGTGGCTTCCTGCATGGGCTGGAGAGGGGGGGCAGGATCAAACCCTTCTTAGTGTTTCCCCAGAAGTCAAAGGGTGCTCGGTGGGCCAGACGGGGGTAAATGTACATCTACCAGGCCAAAATGATCAGGGGGGGGCGTTGATAGTTGTGAGCAGAATCTGCCCAGCTCAATGGTTAACTGACACAATCCACAGGTCCAGGAGGCATCTGTAATGATTCTGGCAGTGGTCCCACTTGCCTTCCCATGGCATCTGTGTGTGTCCCCCCACACACACATTCCCACGTGGCCCTGGATGGCCACTCCCCACTCCCACCGATCGGGAAATGACCCTTGAAGACATTCCGGCCACTCGGAGGAGGCAGATGTCCAGCAGGCCACACGCCCTGATCCTGAGCTGGACAAGCCAAGCCAGGCTGGGGGGCAGTTGGCTGTTGGGGTGGGTGGCCAGTGGCCACGTGGGGAAACAGCAGGGGGGCTCACGGGAAGGAGGAGACGTGGCTGAGGATGGCGGGGAGAGCCAGGCACCCAGCCGTGAACAAGGGTTTCCCCCAATGTGAAAACGGAACTCCCTACCACTGGAGGCCCGGCTGGCCCCATCTTCGCTGTCCTTCCGCAAAGCAGGCCAAGACCTTCCTCTTCAAACAAGCTTCCCCCGAATGACTGGCTGCCGGAGTGGGGCGTTTTTAAAAAGAATGGTTGTGCTTTACTGCTTTGCATTTGCTTTTGCTCATGTTTTTCAGTACATTCTTTTTTTAAAAAAAAAACCTTTTTAGTATTTGAATATTCACTGTTGCTCGCTTTAAGTACTGTTGATGTAAGCTGCCCTGGATCCTTTTTAAGGAGAAAGGTGGGGTTACAAAAAATATTCAATTTTTTTTAAAAAAAGAAACCTCTGTTGCAAAAGGTCTCCAGAACATTCCATCCGAGGTTCACGGTTGACACGTATAAAGAAGACAGGACATAAATTTCCATAAAACGACATGGTCTCTTTGAACTGTACAGATGCAAAATTTGAAATGGCTTCTGGTCATTTAAACAGAATGACGAGTTCTCTCAACCCAGTGAGTAAAAAACACAAACAAACCACTGTCTAGGTAATCTGTGTGTCTGCCAGGTTTCCTTAATTCCCCCAGATACACACTTCCACCTGGAAAGCCTTCTGCTAGGGTGGAACCGTTGGGGGGGGGGTTAAAAGTACATTATTGCAATATTCCTCCCCTCCCCCTTTAAAAATAATAATTAAAAAAAACATAAACTGGAAAACAATACAGTGAAAAGGAAGGTGGGGGGAAATGACTTGTAAGGACAACAGAGGGTCTTGTGGCTAGCTATGAAGCTATGGGGCATAAGCCCATTTCTCTTGATGCATGGAGTACAGGAGGCCAGTCACCTGTTGCAGGTAGAGAAGGCCCACTGCATCAATGGAATTTACAGAGTGGTGGACTCACCCAATGCCCCACTAATTCGATCAGGACTTGTCTAGTTGCTACTACCGGTTTTCAACCACAATAGGCATGAAAGCTCGTATTGTAATGAAACGTGTCTGTCTTTTTAGCACTGAGCAGGGGGTTGGACTGGATGGCCTTGCAGGCCCCTTCCCACTCCACTTTTCTATGATTTTAAGTTCGGGGCCGAATACGCTCTGTTATTTCTGTTGGAAGAGACCAGCGCAGCAACCCTTGCAAATGGCTTGTTCCTTGGCAGATCTCTTCCCTTGCCTTTTCACATCATGCCATTTCCAGGGCCGTCCCCCATTCCCTCCTCATCGCCTCGGCCAGTAGAGCACAAAACCATCTCGGCTCTTGGCGAAGTCAGGCGTGGCTCCGCCGTCCCGTGGCTCCACCGTGACCAGCCTCTTCCGCCCACGGAGGTTCAGCTGGATGCAGTCCGACACCTTCAGGTCCAGCTTCCGTTTGGTCCTGCCACCCCAGGGAAGAGAAGGAGAAGCTGAGAGGAGGGAAGTCTCGCTGGGTTTGGGAACAGAACTAGGAAACCTTACTCTTTTCTGGAGCACCACCTCCAGAATCCCCTGCGGGTGTGGCCTTTCCAAGCTCTGGTTGAAAAGGACCTCCTGCAAATTTGTAAAGAAATTCCTTGGTTCCAGAGACAACCATCAACTAAATCTTTCCCAAGTCAAAACAGCCTTTGGGGAGTAAACCGGTTATTTTCCAAAGTAGAGGGGAGGAACCTTGGTAGATGAAGGGCAAGAAATAAATATAACGTTTAGTTAGAAGATATCAAACTATTCAATTAAAAGGGAGAAAGAGAGAGAGAGAGAAATAGGGGAGGAAAACCCAGAGGTCATGAGGACTAGAACCCTATTTTCCAATGAAACCTGGGATTCTGTGTATTGTCCTGGGAACTTTTTCGTTCTTGCTTTTTTGTTTTCTTTCAAAAGGACAGCTTAGCAGCCCCTGAAACCTTGAATAAAAAACAAAAAAGCAAAAACCTCATGGGCAAGCCAACATGGATAAAAGCAGAGAGATAAACCAGGTGGAGTAACAACCATGGGGTTCAGCCGCATGGTGCCTTCAGGCCAGCCCTCCCTAGAGTAGAACTTATAAGACCTTCTGTAGCCTCCACCAGACCTACAGTTGCTGGCATTTACGCTGCAGAGATCTCACCTTGCCAACAAAGGTCCACATAGTCAAAGCTATGGTTTTTCCAGTAGCGATGTATGGAAGTGAGAGCTGGACCATAAAGAAGGCGGACCGCTGAAGAATTGATGCTTTTGGATTGTGGTGCTGGAGGAGGCTCTTGAGAGTCCCCTGGACTGCAAGGAGAACAAACCTATCCGTTCTGAAGGAAATCAACCCTGAGTGCTCACTGGAAGGACGGATCCTGAAGCTGAGGCTACAAGACTTCGGCCATCTTATGAGAAGGGAAGACTCCTTGGAAAAGCCCGTGATGTTGGGAAAGTGTGAAGGCAAGAGGAGGAGAAGGGGACGACAGAGGACGAGATGGCTGCACAGGGTCATCGAAGGGACCAGCATGAATTTGACCCAACTCCGGGAAGCAGTGGAAGACAGGAGGGGCCTGGCGTGCTCTGGTCCGTGGGGTCACAAAGAGTTGGACACGACTTAATGGCTAAACAACAACAACACTGCTATTGTGGTTTTTTAAAACAATAGCCAGTGCGTGAGTGCTCCCGTGGAGGACACAGAAAGGATGAGAAGCTCTGAAAGTGGAACGAGGCCCCTGAAAACACTGGTGGAAGTGGGATTTGGCCCCTGAGCTGAAAGGGCTTCCCTGACGAGATATATCGTTGTTTTTGGTTCGAGGGAGAAGGCGAAGCCTGGGACAGTGAAGTTTCCGCCTGCAGGGAAGAAAGAGCTGGTTTATGACAGAGGGGAGGAGAAAAAAGAGAGAGAGGGAAGGAGGGAGGAAGCCTTGAAGGTCACAACAACCCATGTTAGAAAAGCCCTACAGGGAAGATACTTCTGTGGAAGGAATCACATGCATCGCTGATGTGTGAAAGCAGGAACGCGCATGGCGTTGATGCAAAACTCATGATTAAGAGGAGGCGTCGGAGGCAGCACCCATCCTCTGCTCTGCGCTAGCTTTCAGGGGAAAAGTTTATTTTTGGAGAGGGAACGGCCGGCCGGCCGTGGGGCATGTGGTGCTCTCACAGCTGCAAAGTCTTCTAAGCGGCAGGCAGAGGAGAGCGCCCCACACAGACCCCCTACCTCCACGTGGAAGCCTGCCCCTGTGCCCTTTGGCACCAAGTCCTGAGTCTCCCCCCCCCAAGATAAAAGGGAGGGGTGGGTGGGTTCTGAGTAATCAAAGTCATTGGGGGGGGAACCTGACTTGAGTCACTGATGTGGCTTAAGTCTGACTCGACAGGGAGTCCCGCGACTCGGGTCTCCATCCCTGCTTACTTGTGAATTAAAACCACGGCCACCCAGCCACTGAAAATGTGCTCAAATAAAAGTATTGTTGTGTTTTTTGGTGGGGTTGGGTGGGCAGGGGTGGAGGCACTTAGGCCTGGATTTTGGCAGACCTCCCAAAATGAAGGCAGCCGTTTCAGAGTTAGGGGAGGTCCCCTTTCATGGCTCAAATAAAAGTATTGTTGTGTTTTTTGTGGGGTTGGGTGGGGGGGTGGAGGCACTTAGGCCTGGATTTTGGCAGACCTCCCAAAATTAAGGCGGCTGTTTCAGAGTTAGGGGAGGTCCCCTTTCATGGCTCCAAATTGCTAGTTGCTTTAGCCGCCTGCTGTATAAACCGCCATGGCTAATACGTTTACCTCTGGGTGGCCTAAAGTGCTACCACGCCCCCAACCTGCCACGTTACTCATCTACTCCCCAAGGAAACCTGTTTAGCAGAGCATCCTCAAGGGTGTCTGATGATGGAGAATCCACCCCCTCTTTTGGCTGACGGATGGGAGAGCTTAACCCACATTCTCAATGCATCCCAATCCTACACGTCTTTTCCTGGACAACCATCGCCGTGACAACTGGGGACCAACTGAGTACCATAGTAACCAGGTCCCGAGCCCTTTTTCCTGTGGTCCAAATAAGGAAGCAGGATGTTGGGAGTGCAAGGACCTGGAAAGGAAGCCACCCTCCGGGCCTTTCGATCCTGAGGTAAGCCTGATGCCACCGGCCCAGTTGAAAGGAGGGCCTAGAGGAGACCCACTGGGGTAAAAGAGAGGAGCCGAGAGCATCCGGGAAATGGAAAAAAGAGGATCAGCGACCACATGATTCAAGGCCAGGAAGGGGAAGCCTTGCAAAAAGATGGTGGTAGCTCGTATCTGAGACACGGTCGTAAGTTGGCCTGGGCTGGCGTCCAGAGGGAAGGTGGTTCAGAACCAGAAAGGCAGAAGAAGCTGGGGTTGAACAAAAAAGCAGAGTTTGGAAGGGGCTGGGAGATCCAAATTCATGCCAAAATCTTGAAGGCCTCAAGAGCTTCTTGACCAACCTATGCGATATAATAAATCAGATTGCATTTAAATTGCCACTTGAGTCCTTTTTTAAAAATGTCTAATGAACACTCCATGGAAAGATAATTTTTATGAGCACATACTTGCTTTTCTTTCCCCCTCACATGCCTGAAGATGGACAGAAGGGTTGGAGTTTGTAGTAGACTTGGTTGGGGAGGGACTTTTCTGAGCTGGATCGGCTGTCAATCTATCCAGGATTAACCAATTATTCCTTCCTGCCTCTCAATTCAAAGAGAGCTCCGCCTCTCTGCTGAGTGTTCTATTTCCCTCTCTTTTGTCTCTTCAAGTTAGTTAGTTAGTTAGTTAGTTAGTTAGTTAGTTAGTTAGTTAGTTAGTTAGTTAGTTAGTTAGTTAGTTAGTTAGTTAGTTAGTTAGTTAGTTAGTTAGTTCGTTCGTTCGTTAGTTCGTTAGTTCGTTAGTTCGTTCGTTCGTTAGTTCGTTAGTTCGTTCGTTCGTTCGTTAATTTTGTTTGCAAACAAAACTTAGTTACTCCATGAAATAACTGTGGGTAAAAAAACCATATTTACAGCATTGGGGGCCCAGATGCCTAATTAAACATGGTTACACATTCGGCCCCACATATTTTGCACAGCTCTGCTCTAAATCTTTAGCAGACTCATCTCCCAGTTAAAGCTGGTGGCCTCATCATTAGGTAATGATGCTTCCCCAGGCAGACTTTGAACCCTTCCAAAGCCCCGGCTGCTCCATACTTCTAATTAAAACGTCCTGCTTCTCAACCCCCAATTTTCAGGTTTCCTCCCCCTTCTGGTTCTCCTGAGCCTGTCAGCAGCAGACTTGCAAACATATGGGAAGGCTGGGAGCGTGATGCACCAGCCAGCCCGCCACCCACCCCCTTCTCCATTTGGAAGGAGGATTATGAGGTGGAGAGTGTGGGCTTTGATTCATTCATTGGCCCCTCTCAATGGGGAAGCCCCGCCGGAAGAGGAGCCGCCTTCCTCCCACCTTGCAAAGGGGCTCAGCCATCCCCCCCTTTTGTGTGTCACACACGTAGGGCCATCTGGAAGGCGACCTCCGACCCCTGGCTGCCTCCTTGCCGAGGGCGTAAGGCATCCCGGGGCTGACATCTGTCCCTTTTTTTGCAAGCCCCCTCCCTGCCTGATGGGTCTGGGCAGAAGGTAGCCTGCGTGGGAAGGCTTTCTCCTTCCCACTGAAACTGGGGGGGGGGCAGGATTGGGGGGGGCTACCTGACAGAGATGCTAGGGCTTGGAGAATTGGCTCCTTTGGTGCAGGACTACCAGAATTCCAGCTGGCAATGGCCGCGCTCTTTGGAGGATTCTGGGAGTGGTAGTTTTAAAAGGTAACGTCTCCAGACTTTGCCTGGGGCAGGGTCCGGATTCCTGAGCACAGGCAGAAGAAAACAGATCATTTTAGGCATTAGACCGTAAGAACCTGAGAACCTGAGCAGAAGAGCCCTGTGCTGGATCAGGCCCAGGGCCCCTCGAGTCCAGCTCCCTGTACATCTCACAGTGGCCCCACCAGATGCTTCTAGGAGCCCACGAGACGACCAGATCCCTCTCTCCAGATTGCCCTCTTCCCCTGCCTTTGGAGGTCCCTTCCTTCTAAGAGCCTGGAGATGATGATCCCTTTGGAGGTCCCTTCCTTCTAAGAGCCTGCAGATGATCCTCCATCCCCATCAGGGCTTGTCCACCTGCGGTGGGTTTTTCCTCCATCCCCTTTTCAAGGCCTCTAGAGGTCAGATGCCATCACGGCATCCTGTGGCAAGGAGTTCCAGATTCCAGACTTTGTGGTTTTGTTTGCACCAGGGTCAGGAGTCTGTAAGCTGCCTTAGCTCCCCCCCCTTCCAGGTGGGAAAAGGACAGGATGTCCATCCATCAGCAAGGTCACAACTGTTGGCTCTGCTCTCAGTGGGAGAGGCAGTTTTGCTTTGGGACCCACAGATCCCCACATCCTTGTGATTGATGGCAAATGGGCCTGCAAGGTATTCTCTGTCCAGTCTCA